GTACACTAAATAATGATCGTCATCTTGAAATAGTCGGTGCAAGAAAAGATGATCAAGGTTATTATATATGTAAAAGAGGAAATACAATTCGATCAAGTTATAATTTAACAATTACAAGTATGATATTTCATCCGAATGAAAAAAAAAGAAGAGAAGATTTTCATCTAACAATTACTTTTTTTTTCCTAGCTAACTCATGTATTAATATAATTCCAAATAATTTACATGTAAATATAAATGAAGCAATTCGTCTTGTTTGTCGTATACGTTCCCCGGATGCATTTAATCAACAAAATTTACGTGTACAATGGACACGTAATGATTATCCAATACTAAATATTGCTGAATGTCTTTCGAATTATTCATCTATTGATGATACACTTTATGAAATATTAACTATAAGAAAAGCACGACGAACTGATACTGGGATATATACATGTCGATATGGTCAACTTTTAACTGCAACAGCTCATATTATTGTTAATCAATGTAGGTGTTCCTTTTTTTTGTTTTGTCTTTTTGAATATATATTTCTTTTTTATCTGTTATTTTTCTTCTTTAGATTCTAGTGCTAGTAAATCACGTCGTTTAATATCACATATAACTGGTAACAGTTCATCTTTGAAACCATCTTCACGAACAGTAGTTAGTTTTTTTATATTGTATATCAAATTGTTTTTGTCTTTTTACCGTAAATAAATATGTATATGTATAGACACATAATTTTATTAAGGTAAAATATTTATCATCAAATAATAGAGAAAAAAAAAATTTCTTTTTTCGTAACTCAACATGGTTTTTTCCTTATCAAAAGATATTATCTTAAATATTTTATTATTCAACTGGAGTTGTTTCTCCATCAGGTGATGTTATAGAGATTGATGGTAATACAAAAACTAGAAAAAAAGAAGAATTTCGTATTTAATAAACAAAAAAAAAAAATAAAGGTTTAAAATACATACATTTTTTAGGTTTTGGTTTTTCTTCTTGATTATTGTTTGCAGGCACAAAGAGTTTTGCAACTTGATTGAAAATCATACCTAGATGAAACCGCTTTTTTGCTGTTGTTGATGTTTTCGTTGTCGATCGTGACTCTGACATTTTCTTTTAAATTCTAGCAAATACACGTGGTAAATATTATATATTATTTATATTTCGTTGCATACATTTTTGCTTTTGCCAACGATCGCACGTGACTCTAGCAAAATGGTTGTTGTAATAGTAATTTTATGCAGTATATATTTATCTTATCGCGTAGTATGGCAATAATCAAGAGAAAGTTTAGGAAGAAAAATAAGCAGTAAACAATCTCTTTTGCATTTACCTTTTTATCCTATCCCATCGTCGTATTTTTTATTCTTTCGCATAAAACGACGTATTATAACTAGCGTTACTAACAAAGGTATAAAAAAAATTTTCTTCTTTATTTACTAATAAAAATAACCAAATGATTAATGATGATTCAATGAAAGACAAAAATATGTAGTTGTTCACAGAATGAAAAAAAAACTTCGAGATTTTTACACATAATGAATGTCATACTCTTACTATTGATTTATATATTAAACTAGTTTATTGTCAAATGAAATATATATCAATAGATAATGTCAATGTTTATGTTGGAAAAAAACCTATTCCGTATAAAAGATTCTTTATTGATTTTCAATACTAAACTAAGATCAGTCTACGAGTTATGAAAAGAATCATTACAAGAAAACATCAGTTTTTTATTAACACATAATTAGAACATCAAGAAGACATTTATGTTATTTTTTGATAGAAATATAAGAGAAATTTGGAGATTTTATATCCCAAGATTATGTTTCTTTTTTAAAATTAAAAATGATGAATAGTATCAATGTCTTCAACATATTAGAGTCATCAGTATTTCATAATTCTGGCTTTTTTTTACGAAACCTAATCAAACAAAATCAAAATACTTTTCATTTGTAATTACCTTTATTACAAATATATATATACATCATTCTAATTTATCATCATCATTTGTACAAACGTGTATTCTTATTTCCAAACATAACAATTCGAATAAAAGAAGATAGAAATATAGATAGTTATATTATCAATTCTATAGCTGATAGCGAACATCTACAAAATTTTCGTATTTATTTTATTTTTAATATACTGTTGCAGTACAATAATGTAGACACTTCTTCATTTTTGTTTTGCTAGAAAGAGCAAAATGTCTAGTGGAAAAAATGTATCAAAGACTTTGATTGAATATGTTTATCAACGGTCAAAAAAATCGTAAAATACAAAATATTGAAAAATTCTTCCAGAACTTCAATCACAATTATTTTTAACCGAAATATATGTATTTGGCTTTTTTTATTATGCGTTTTCAATCTACACATAGTAGATCATTAACATAAAGACTTTCGTGTAATATTAAAATAATTGATCTAGCATATAGTGCCGAAATTGCAAAATTCAAGCAGAATTTTTTTATGTATGGTTATATAGATCTTGAGGAGCTGATCAAGAAGATATATGTGTTTTCATTGTTTTGGAACGAGTCTTTAGGGAGAAATATTCAGTTCTTTTTTCTGATAAAGAGATCAAATTTTTTTCTTTCCTTCAAGTTTCAAGAGTACTTGTTTCAGATCCAGTACAAATAGCAGAATCTAATAAGGTCATTGAAAATAGCTTTCTCAAATTCAGTTTTTTCACGCTGAATTTGAAACAAATACTCTTGAAACTTGAGGAAAAGAAAATAATCTGACAAGTTGACATTTATCGAAAATTGACCTTTTTTTCAAAAAAAAACTAGGTCGTTTGAAAAAATTGAAATTTTCCTCACTAAAAACTCATTCAAAAACAATGAAAACAGATATATTCTTGGTCAGTTTGTCATCCTCTATCTAATCATATTAAAAAAAAATTCTGCTTTAATTTTGCATTTTCGACACCTTACTTAAATGCACAGTTATTTCCATATAATTCTTTTTTTTTGTTGTACGTAGTATGAAAGTATGCAATCATTAAGTAGCAATGATTTGCTGTAATTCTTGCAAAATTAGGAAGGTATTTATCGACAAAGGGATATTCTTTTCAGGTGAAACTTTCAAGATACTGTACTAATCATTCAACCTGATTATGAGCAAGGTTTCAGATGGAGAGACCTATGGATACGAATCCTTGTAGAATTTTTCTAGTCTTACTGAGACTTTCTTGTGAACCCAATATGAGATCAAACGATGGGCACCACTTCAGGTAGTTCTCTCGTAAGTGTGCACTAAGTGAATCAATGCTACTGTTAAATAATGATTACAAATGATTTCTTTCTATCACCTTATTTCAAAGGATTTCAATTTTTACTTATTTTATTCTACAATTTGATCATCTTTCAATTATAGATTTACAACAAATATCAATAATAGAATCAATTTTCAATTGTTATTTTTTTTCATATTTAGTTGATTTATTTGATCTATTACCTTTATTTTTTAAATCAACAATTTAAGAAAAAACAATGCTAATCCTTTCTTATACTCTTTCAATAACAAAAACAAAATACAGAATAATACATATTTTTATTTTGAAGTAGACATATTTGAACGATTTGAATTATCTAAAATTGCTTTTCTTCCAGCTGCTTTTGGTCTTGCTCGTGTAATCTTAACATTTTCTTTACTATCAATACGATATTGTGCTAAATCTTCTTTATGTTTTTCAATATCTTCATAAATTTCAGCTTTATCATCATCATGAATTTCAGTTCGATATTGTCTCATTATATCCCATTGACGCCATGGTTCACCAAAACGTTCAGCTGCTTTACGTACACTTCGTGGTAATGATGGTAAAAGAATACCTTTTAAATCATGACGCTCCCATTTATATTGCCAATGAGTACTAGTGATTGGTACCTAAAATAACATATGATTAGGTTTAATTTTGTTTTCTTTTTTAATAACTAAAAAAGAAAAAAAAAAAACAAAATTCCTACTTGAATTGTATTCAAAGGTACTCCAGCACCAGGTGGTAATTTAACTGGTTCCATATCAAATGGAAATGTACAATATTCAGGTGGTGCATCACGTAAATAAGCAAGATTTTCATCTAAACGTCGTTCAAGTTTAAGAACTTCAATTTTAGTTATTGTTGGATTATATAATTCATAACTAATTTCAACACCTAAAAACAAAAAAGTAATACTATAGTGACGAATATAACTTTAGAACAATTGTATTTTTGAGAAAAAAACGATCTTTACCAAGTCCATCAACAATATTTCTTAGAGTAAATTGATGTTTAAGTCCATGTCTTTCACGTTGAATACATATACCAACAAATCTATGACGTCGATTAGGTGCATATGGATCAGCTGATGTTACAGCAAGAATACTTCCTTTTGATAAGAATAAATTCAATTTTGTTTTTTTTTTTTTTTTTTTTTTTCAATGAATACTAACCAACATAAAATTCTGGTATATCAATTTGTTGTCGTCGACGAAACATATCTTTTCGTTCGAGTTTTTCAAGTATTCGATCACGTAAATAAGGAATTGGATTTGGTAAAAAGTCAGGATAAACATATCTATAAATAATAATCAAAACAAAATGTTTTTTTTTTCTCTCTTAAATTTAATTTACTTAAAATCATGTGGTGTAGTACGGAGATCTTTCGTTGTATCATCTTTCGGTGGAAAAGCATCAACAGCTGCACCATTTTTCAATTTACCTAATGGTGATTGTCTATGATGTTCAACAAGATGATCAGCAATATGTCCACGTTGTTTATAACGAACAGATAATATTAAAACTAGAAAATAATAAGATTAAAAAAAAACAGAGAATATTATTTTTGTTTTCTATGAAAAGTAATACAAATTAACCTGATCTTAATATTTGTTGATTATTTAATAGAAATTTATTAGTAGTAGAAAATGATAATGCCATTCTTTTTTTTTTTTTTTTGTTATATTTTTAAAAATACATCTGAAAACAAAATAGGAAATAAAACAAAGAAATAATCAATCCTATGATTTTTGTGTATAAGAAAAACATCGAACACATAGTTCATTTTCATTTTCTGATATTTGTAAACGACAACGAGGACAAAGATGTAAGGAATTATATTGAATTTTCATTATATAATTAAATTTATCATCTAAAATTAATTCTAATATTAATATCTTGTTTTTTTGTCGATAAATAATTCAATATACCTAATAATGGTAAATCAACGCTTGAAATATTTTCTTCTATTAGATCATTTTCTAAATCAGATAATGATCGTTGATGTACATGTGAACATTGTAAAAGTTCTTCTAATGGATGCCAAAAATCTAATTTAATTGTCTAAATTAAAGAAAATGATTACAATCAAATGACAAATATCGTAGATTTCAAATTTATTCATAATTCTTTATAATACTACTATCTATTTCAAAATCTAATGTGCTCTATTGTTATTTTTTTGAATAACTTTTGATCGGAACATCATAGAGATTTGCGTTTTCATTATTCAACAGAGAAGATTCGAAGCGAGATCAAAATATATCGAAATTTGATTAGTCAGCTATTGACCAATCAGATGAGTTTTTTAGAAACAATATTCTGAAACTATTTCTCTTTTGATTTACGTACGGCCGACACTCCTAGTTTGTTCTGTTCGAGAGTTATAAGCTTTTCTCTAAGACGTCCGATTTCAGCTAATTGGCCTGTGATCAGTTGGAAAGGTAGCTAGACGGAGATAATTCAGTATGCTGAGTCGAATAGTGATATTTTTTTTTCAGTTCAAAATGATCTGGCTCTGCTATCTCAATATTTCTAAAGTTCTACGATCAGCCTTTATGTAAGGAAAGGAATCAATGTTTCAAAAATATTGAGATGATAGTGTCAGATCAGTTCAAATTTAAAAAAATATCATCTTTCAACTTAGCATGATGAATTACTTTCGTCTAGCTGCTTTTCTAGGATGAAAAGTGATTGAAATAAAATATTGATGTCTCTAAGATATCCATAGTATGGACAGATTGATCAATCATACTCTCATTTGATCACTCTAGTGACCATCGGAGGGAGAACGACTTAATCACAATTCTATCTGAGATTTTCTGTAAATCAGATGTGGTTTGACAATGTCTAATTTTGTTGAAAATGATTTTTTTCTATTAAATGGATTGATTTTGTAATTCATCTTTTTCGAAGATGGAACAAGAAAAAACATGTTTCTAAAGTTTTTTTAATTCCATGTTTATTTTCTGTAGCATATAAAATAGAAATACGAAAATAGGAAATGATGGATGTCATTATTTCTTATGCACTCGTTAACAAAAAGAAAAATCGATTTCTTTAAAAATAAAACTTACTGATGGATGTTTTTCAAGTACATCTTGAACTTGTTTAAGCTATTAAAATCAAAAAAACAATTGAATATAATTTTAAACTTTTTCTTTTTTTGTCAGTAATTTTAACCTGTAGTTTTGCTTTATCACTTAAATAAAGTACAATATCATATAGAATAGCTCGTCGATTTTGAAGAATTCCATGATATGTATTACGTAAATGTAATATAATTGACATTGTCGATGTAAGTTCTGAAGAAATTTCAGTTAATTGTTTATCCAAAAATGTAAATTTATTTTCAAATATGTCATTTATTTTTTTTTCTTTATTTTCTAAAAGATAAAAAATAAAATAAAAATTTTTTGACAAAAATATTCTTTCATTCATACCTATTAAATATAATTCATTATATAATTCTTGTGCAAGATATGGCATTACTGGTGCTAATCGTTCATTAAGACATTTTAATAATAAATAAAAAACTGTTTGTGTTGATCGACGAAGATAAGAATTCGATGGATTACAATAAAGTCTAATTTAACAAAAAAACTTTTGTCAGCGCAGCAGCTTCTTTGGAGTTCATAGGAATTTTTGTGTCTCATTATACTAATACAAAATATGTAGAATGACGCCTTTTTTTTTTTTCGTTGCTAAGAGAGTCTGATGGCAGTTTCGAAAAACATATATGTGAATTGAACAAAATAAATTTACCTACCGATCTTTTGTTACTGAACAATAAAAACTTGATATATCACCTTGAATAAAATCTTCAATAGCAATTAAACCATGATACATTCTATATTGATCAAAATCATTATGATACTAAAAAATAGATAAATTTTAAATTTCAAATAAAAAATTATATCGACATACTGTCGTAAGAGTTTGATATAAACGATATGCTATATAACGATCAATAGCAGTTAAATTTTCATTTGATATTGTATGTTTATCAGGTTTAAAATCATATAAATTTCCAAGTAAAAATCTTAATATATTTCTTATCTAAATAAATTTTTTTGTTTTCTGAAGAAAATAAAGATATATATAAAATTTAATTTATCTTACATCAAAAACTCGTTGATATGATTTAGTTAAATCTTCTCCACTTGCTTTACATTGAGGTTTATAACTTTCTCTTGTAACCCATTCTCGACAAACATCAAGACCATTTTCATGAAATTTTTCTTTTCCACCACCAAATATCATATCCGATGGTTGAATAACATTTCCAATTGATTTTGACATTTTTTGATTATTTTTATCAACAACAAAACCATGAACAAATATATTTGAAAATGGTGCTCGCATTTGTATTCCAGTTGATAATAATAATGATGATAGAAACCAACCATTAAATTGATCATGACCTTCACAATATATATCAGCTTGATAATTAAAATCTTTAAAAAAAGAACATAAGACCAAAACCAATTTTTCTTTCTTTATAAGGATTTTGCCGACTTTGGTGACCTATTTTGAGGCAGGATACTCTATATGTAGTTTTTTAGAGCAATTTACGACGAATCGAGTGATATATATGAAATCGAATTTTGATCTGCTGAGAGAATTTGATGCAAAAATCATACCTGAATACTCGAAATAAAAATAGCAGTCCTCCTTTCTGCAATCATAGTCCTGCACTCCTCTTCAAAGGTCTGATAGCCAAAAAAAAGTTTTTTCTATTTACAAAGGACTTATTTATATCAGTTCATCAGGACTGTTGTACTGATATTGGTACATAAAAATGTTTAATAGGACTGTCGACTATTGTTAAAATATTGTCAATGTACAGGCTTCTACATAGAGAAAAATACACTATTCTAATTGAGGATCTTGCAAGTTGACAACGAGTCCCTACTGTTCCAAAAGATGTTATGTTTAAAACATAGTATGCAATTTTTGAGAATGTTTCTTGTTCTAGAGTACAGAGTTGAACATGCTGAAATATCACATAGTCAAGAAATAAACTACGCCTAAGAAAAGGAACTATTTTTAAGTATGAAGAAAATAACAATGAAAGCTATTGATTATAGAAAATCGAAGCGGCACCTATAACTGTATCGCATTAAGTTTATCTGAGGAACCATAAATGTCTATGAGTACCATATATATCTGTCAAGAATTACAACCAGTATATACACTCTCAGCACATCAAAATTTGATTTCTTATACACTATTCAGTGTGCCGTAAATTGCTCTATAGAGCCACATATATAGCATCTTACTTTAAGATAGTTCAACAAATCCGGCAAAGTCTTTTATGTAATTTCATGTTATACCTTTAAGAATTGTATTAAATGATGAACCACTATCAAACCAAACATCAAATATATCTTTTCCACGTTCAAGATTGTCAGCTTGATTATGCATTGATATAGGTAATAATTCTTTAATATCATTTGATGACCACCAAAAATCAATTGAATTTTTTTCTTGAACACATTTTATTAAATGTTCAATAATATCTTCATTAATCACAAGTTCTTTTCTATCATTTTTTTGTATAAAAAACTGGTATTGGTACACCCCAATAACGTTGTCGTGATATACACCAATATGGACGTTGTGAAGTCATTGATAAAAAACTTTTTCCAGCACCTTCAGGAAATATTTTTACATCTTCTAATATATATTTACGTGCATTATCACGTAAACGTGTTGTATCAATAAACCATTGTTGACTACCTAAGATTAAAACAGGTTTTTTTGCTCGCCAATCATATGGATATGAATGTATTAATTCATAATGATGTAAAATATCAGAATTTAAATATTTAAGAATTCCTTCAATACCATCATTTTTATCTAATGCATTACGACCATGAAGAGATTCAATTGATGGACAATTTAAATGACCAGTTAAATTAACAGCATTAATACATTGAAGATTATGTTTTATTGATAGAAGAAAATCATCAGAACCATGTGCTGGTGCAATATGAACAAGACCAGTACCGATTTCATCAGTAACATGATCACTAGTAATAATAGGATAATTTATTTGATCATTATAAATTGGATGTTTATAGGTAAGACCGGATAATTGAGATCCTGAACAAATGAAAATTTATTTTCGAAGATAAAATTATGGTTTTTTTTCTTCTTTACCAAGACAATTTCCTATGATTTCAAATTGATTATTAGAAAATGGTGAAAATTTTTTTATATTATTTAATAATGCTTCAGCAACAATATATATATCGTTTGTCGAGGAAAGTTTTAGAAATAGATATTTTAATTTTTCATTAACAGCTACAGCTTGATTACCAACTAAAGACCAAGGTGTTGTTGTCCAAATTAAAGCATAAGTATTTCCTAGATTAGTTTCTTAAAACAAAGAAGAATATTAAGAAATATTTGAAATAAAATTTCTTACGAGACAAAAGTTTTGATATCAAATCATTGTTTTGTAAACGAAATCGTACATAAATAGCAGTACTAAAAATTGAACAAAATATAAAATCTTTGATGTCACCGATTAACAAAAAAAAAATCATGTCTAGGTACACGGTTCATTAAAATGTAATAGAATCTATTGAACCTTTTAAGAATTTAACAAAGATCTAAAAATATAGGTAAACAAAAGTGAAATCAGGCTTACGAGTAGAACCCGTCGGTTAGTTCCGGACTTGGATCTGCGTCCGAACGTTTTCGATCTGATGAGCTCCAGTTGTCTGAGAAGTGTGTAGGTTGTGGTAGTCACCAAATACAAAAAGTCGGAAAAAAGTGTTTCATATCTTCGGAACGGCTATCCAATTTGGATTAGAAAATTTCATTGAGAATATCGAAGTATGGTTCGATTGGGTCTGGGTTCGAAAACTTTAGATCCGACGGGCTCTACTTACAAAAGAAATCTCCTAACTAATTAATCGCTTTTGAGTAGAAACGATATACATCATGTAGATACTGGTGAACTATGGACACTCTGAAAAGAATAAGTTTCAGATCTTTTTGTTGTTTCAATCCTAAAATACGGTTATCGTAAAAGCGTGTCTTTAACATCGCTTATCTACACAAATACATTCTATGCTCGTCTTTCAGGATAGAAGCAAAACAAATGACCTGAGTCTTCATAACAAACCATTCTCATCAAAGCTTATCTCTATGCAAAATTTCAAGTCGAAATTTGAAAATAATTTTTCCTTATACTCGTGTGGCGGACCACGACGTTGTATTTGAAAATGTCGTAAAAGTTCAGTATCCTCGTAGAAATAAGCTAACGGACTGAACTCTTTTCAGAACACTCATAGCTTATTACAATCTGCATGACGTGTAAAGTCTCCACTGAAAAGTGATTAATCAATCGGTGAACTCTCTTTGTTAGTTCTCATCTCGTCTGTATCTAGATTTAATAGACTCTACTAATATACACAAATTTTTATTAATACGACGACTTATTTTTATGTATTATTTCCTGTTTATACATTTCTTCTTTTGTATTATCTTTCTTTAACATATTTAAGTTTTAATAATTACTAAGAATTATATTTTAATTTATAATTTGAAACAATATTAGAAATGTATTTCTAAATACCTTATATGTTTATCATTATATTCTAATTCAGATTCAGCCAAAGCAGATTGAACAGTTGGTGACCAATTGACTGGTTTATATTGTCGATAGAGTAAACCCTTTCCAAAAACAATATACTCAATAATCAAATTTAAAAAAATATTATATAATTAATTACTTTCTGATATAATCTCCAAAATAATCTAATTTGATCAATAATATAATCTTTATCAAATGTTCTATAACAATTATTCCAATCAGCTAATATACCCCAAGATTGAAATTCTGTTTTTTGTTTTTCTAATGCTTCTGTAGCAAATTGACGAGCTGTTGAAATAGAAAAATAAAATTATTGAAAAATTTTTTATAAAACTACAAAAGAAATGAAAATAGATTTTACCAAGTTTACGAACAACGATTGGATCTTTATCATTTGAATTGCTTTTATTTTCTTGTAATGCTTTTAATTCAATTGGTAAACCATGACAATCCCAACCAGGACGAAAATCTATTCGATTTCCATTTAACAATTTATAACGAACAATAATATCCTTTTGAATCTATCCAACAAGAAATCGTACAAATGAAAAACAAAAAAACAAATGATTGATTTCTAACTTTATTTAGAAAATGTCCGATATGAAGAGGTCCATTAGCAAATGGTGGTCCATCATGAAGAACAAATAATGGACGACATATCTGTTTTGATTGCCATTCCCATAATTGATTAACAGGATATTTCTAAAAATGATATCATTTAGGAACAAGAAAACATTTGAATTTTTCGAATAGAAAGATTTTAAAAGCAGATATCATTTTTTTAGAAGATTTCTAGTATCATATTTTGAATATGACAAGATTGAAATAAAACTAATCAACAAACCTGCCTGATATCATTTTCACATTTAATTCGATTTTTCATTGTACTCGCAAATTTACTTTTTGGCATATTGAGTGTATCTTTGTATGATATACTTTTACTTGATACATATCGTAAATTTCTATTGAAAATTTTTTGATAACCAAATAAAATTCTCATCTAGTATACATAGAGAACAACATATATAATAGATATATTTTTATATAAGAATGATATGAGACAATAAGTAAAATAAACACACACACATATATATATATATAAAGAGACAAAAATTATATTTAAAAAAGCATAATATCCATCTATAATGAAGGATATTTAAAATCATTTTGTTTGTTTTTTCTCTTAAACAAATGACTAGTTGACATTTGGTTTAGTTATGAGTAAGCATTCAAATAAATACAATTAAATGAGTTTTTTTTTTTTTCTTTTTGTTTAATTATTTTTTGGTTTGCTTGCACGTTCAGCTTCATCAATAGCAGCCATATCAAGTGAAGCTGTATAAAGATGAATTAAACTGATGATTTGTTTTGCGATCATAATTGGTGTAACAATATAAAGAATTAAACGCCAAAGGCCCATTGCATAACTACCATACGTAATAACTAAAATTTAAAATAAATAAATAAATTATAAAAATCTTTTTCTTTTTTTGTTTTAATTTTTACCTGCTGGACCTTCACCAAAATGAAGCATATAAATCATTGAAAACCAAAGTTCATTTCCTGCACACATTGTAAAAAGAACTTTCTATAAAAAACAAAATCATTTAATTAATAGATAATTTCAATAATTATTCTTACACGTGATGTATAATAAAGACGAAGAATAGGATTGCCTGAAAGATCGATTTTCTTATGACTTTCTGAACCTTTAACTGTAGCTCTAGAATAATTCAAATGATGATTAAAAGACGAAAAAAAAACATACAAGATATAAATATATATATTTACGCATGTAAATGAAGCCAATGACTAGCAACATCAATTGCAGCCCAAAGTTGAAAGAAAAGTGCCCATTTTGGATAGAACATTGCCAAAACAAAACATAAACACATGGTTGAACATCGATCAACTAGCATATCAAACATTGCTCCAAATTTAGTACCTACATTATTACTTAGAGGTTTTTTTTTTTTTTGGTTAATAGAAAAACAAAATTTACTTTGTCCAAGTGCACGAGCAGCATGTCCATCAAGTGCATCAAGAAATTCGCTTGTTAAATAACAAAATATTGTTATTTTTGGATGCGACGGCATAAAATAAAATGAAACAATCGATAAAAAAACTCGTACATAGCCTACAAAAAGAAAAAAATCTTTATAATAAAAATTCTTAAATTAATATTTTCTTCTTACCAATAATATTTGGTATAAATAAAAATATATTATTTGTTTTAAGTAAAGCCTCAAATGAATTAATTGTTTGAGTTTCTGCTGAAACTTTTTTTATTGTTGGATTTATATTACTTGCCATTTCTTTGTTTTTTCTGTTTTAAAAAATATCTGAAATAAAAATAAAGATTAATTATAGATTTATCTCTTCAAATAAATCAATAGATTGATGTTTTAAAACCTAGAAAAATAAAATAAAAAAAGAATTTATTATACAAAAAGAAAACGAAGCATTTTTACTTCATTTCCTATCGATGTAAAATTTGGTAATAAGTTTCTAGCATATAATTCTAAACAATTATCTATTTCATTATTTGGAAAATTTATTAAATTTTGAAACAATAAATGTAATGCAGGTTTTGTTGAATGAATCAATGCAGGAATCTAAAAAAAACAGAAAACATAACGAGACAACCTTTGATTGTATATCAACAATGTCTATCACGGTGGGTGGTGGTGGTCTCTGCCTAGCATCTCATGGTGGACATTAGGTGAAAAAATAAAAGTAATGTTTTTTTTTATGATTTGAATAATGTTTAATATACTTTGGTGTGAATGGCTGACTTTTCGGCTTAAAAAAACTTTCTTTGGAAAAAGTATGCATACTTTCTCAACTAAGGACTTTCTAAAAAGACATGTTCAATGTAATTGATGCGCACACTTTAGCACAGGCATTAGTAAAATATATTCCAATCTCCGCTTAATTCAAAGATATTATCAATTGATAGAGCTTAAAATTCTCGACTCAGAAGACTCCACTCTAAGTCATTTTCTTTAAAAAACTCCGAACAAAAAAATCAAATATCATTTCGAGCAGTCCACTCCAATCTACTGTGTTTCATTCTCATTTACAATGTAAAAATTTATGTTATCAGTTAATAAGATTAGATATATTCGGATCAAATTAAAGCTCTCACCGTTAAACTAATAAATTCAAAATATGAGCTACTGTTGGCGTGTAGAGACGGTGATATTCGAATATTAATATTTATAGTCTATATAAGGTGTCTGTAATTCAAAATTTGAGTACAACCCTTTTTTGTTTTTTTCGTGATCGTGGGAACATCAACAAATGGTTTAGAATGAGGTCTCCTGAATCGAGAATTGTAAGTTCTATCGAATGATAATATCTTCGAGTTAAACAGAGGTTGGAGTGGGTTAGAGCGTATTTTACTAATACCCGAAAAATAAGGACATATTCTGAATTAGTACGAAAAACTGTATCGAATAATGTGTTATTTGTTAATTTTTAAAACAAAAATTTTTGCTGACAAAAGTTTAGGGTAAGGATCTCGTCTCAAAGCTATCGGGTAGAAAATTTTCGCACCCGGTCAAACCGCACTTTGATACGCTCAATGAAATTTTCTAATCCGAATTGAATAGTTACCCCGAAGATACAAGACATTTTTTTTCCGATTCTTTGTATTTGGTGATTAATGCACCCTACATATTTCTCAGACTACTCTAGAACCTATCGTGCGTCTGTCACGATCTGTGAGTGACTCAAACTCCAACACTCCATTAAGATCGTGTTTCACAAAATAAGAAAATGAATTAAATTCAATACACTGCATAGAATTTTTGTTGTATCTTTTAATGAATTAAATTTATCATCATTTCCTGTATAACCAAGTATCAATGTTTCATAAGATTTTTTATCTATTGATGTTAAATCAAGTATTGGTTCACCGGATCTCGTTATCTAAAGAAATATATTAATGGATTTATTCAGTTTTTTTTCTTAAACATACTTTTAACCAATACCATGTTGTTAAATATTGACAATTCCATTTATTAAATAAATCATTTTTAATAAATTCTTCAATTCTATCACAATTTGTTGACCAACAACAAATTAATGATGATCGTGTACGATCAATTAAATGTTCAATAGGTAAATTTTTAATATCATTAAAATCTGACCAATTATATGGACGTTTTCGTCGTACACTTTTATTCATCCATGGTGGATCCAATACAATAAATGAATATTTTGTTCCTTCTTTTAAAAGAAAATATTTTATGTGGATTTTATTTAAAAATAAAAATATTTTACTCACCACTTACAAGTAATGTCGAATTTTTTATATCTGACCATAAAAATCGACATTGTGCTGGTAATATAATTTGTCCTGCAAAAGCAGTATCAATTATACTTGGATGATTTTTATTATGAGAATAAAGAATATTTGTTTGTATGCCTAATTTTGATGCACGAAGAAAATAATCTATAAAATTTATTTATTAAAATAAATGTTTTTGTTTTTGTCTTTTTGTATCTTTTACCTGTTAAATTAATTTGTCGAATTGATGGAATATTATTACATTGTTGTGTAGCAATTTCAGCAAATGGTATACTATTAAATGTATGTTCAGTTTGAATTAATAAATCATCATTATTTAATAATAATTTACTTTTACAAAAATTCACTGCTTCATTAAGCTATTAATGAAAATTATTATTAAAAAAAAAAAAAAAAGAAATTTTTCTATAGAAATTAATTTACTTTTAATATTAAATCCTCTTGATTTTCATTAAATGCTTCATCATAACTTCGTTTCTAAATAAAGTTGATTATACTCGAAATATTTGTATTGTAAACATAAAGAATAGAAGAATGTGCAAGATATTTATATTCAAATCATGTTATCCTTCCGAAATTAAATAATAGATAAATATGCTATACAAACAACTTTTTATCATAAGTAGCATAATTCAAAAAAAAAAAAAGAAAAATTTCCTTATCATTTTCTCATGACTCCGACACGAAAGGAATAATGACTTGATTATAGAAGCATGGTTTGAGTCCCAACTCGACTGATTCTATCACCGGAGTTGGATTGTAAACTATTCTTCAAAAAAAATAATGTTATTTTTTTTCTTAGCTTCAATTGGAATACTCTCCTATTATAATAGGTGATGGAAAAGTAATTAGAGAAAATGTTTATGCCTACAGAAATTTAATTTTGTATTCTTTCCGAATATACGTTCAAAAATTTGATAGAGCTTCTCGTTTAGAAGTTCGTAAATTAAGTTTGAACGAACTTCAGCACGTTAAAAATTACATACTAATGATTAGTTTACTGCAAGTCATTTGTCAACAGAGAGTATTCTCGATAAAGAAGAACTTGCTTATTTAGATCATTTTCTCAATAGATTTGAAAAGTGAGCTCGATCATTCATTCTAAGACTATATTCTCAGCTGAAACTTTTAAGACTGTTACTATCAATCGTGAATACTTTTTCTTTCATTGCTATTTCTCGTATCAGTAAATTCATAAACATATATTGTTACTACACACAACAAATGTCTATATCAATAGTTTTAAAAGTAATGTTCTTTCTAATAATTATATGGCGTTTTGTCTATTATTCATCATCATTTTTGTTCACATATATTAATATATGTATGTGGGCATGAGTGTTCTTCTCTTCACTCACACCCTCCACTACTTAGGAGAGGGAGAATAAAGTGAACCCATTTTAAACTTTATTGCTTCAGCTAAAGAATTGAATATGCAACGCCTATAGTATCCTACGAAAGTATTGTAAGCATCATATCCGAAAAAGTAAATTATATCAATATTTTATGAAACCTATTGGAAATTTATGTATTTTAAGATAAAATATTCATCAGATACATGATCATCTATGAAATTGAACTTTAGATATGTTGAC